AAGACGTGGACCTTCACAGACAATTTTCTGTCTTAGGATGTAACATCCATTTCGAACTTAAAATACCAAATTTTAAACAATGCCTTTGAATATTGTCGCTAAAATCAACAAAGAACCGCATATCCGGAGGTACCGTTATATGGGGGCTATACGAAGACATGGGCCTGCACAGACAATTTTCTGTCATAGGCTGTAGTATTCATCTCAAACTTCAAATACCAAATTTGAAAAAATTCCGTTGAATATTGTCTCTAAAATCAACAAAAATCCGAATATCCGGAGGTACCGTTACATGGGGGTTATACGAAGACGTGGACCTTCACATACAATTTTCTGTCATAGGCTGTAGCATCCATTTCGAACTTTAAATACCAAATTTGAAACAATTCCGATGAATATTGTCGCAAAAATCATTAAAATACCGAATATCGGGAGGTACCGTCATAAGGGGGCTGTACCAAAACGTGGACCTATATGACCCATTTTCAATACGAAAAGTCCTGCAGACATAATATACATATGAGTAAAATTTTATCAATCTTCTTCAGTTCGTGCGGAAGCTAGAGTGATTTCCACAGACGTACAGACGGATAGACGCACGGACATCGCTAAATCGACATAGAATTTTATGCTGATCTAGAATATACTTTGTGGGGTCTAAAATATATATTTCGAGGTGTTACAAACGTAATGACAAACTTAATATACCCTCCATACTATGGTGGGGGGTATAAAAATGGAGAAAAGGAGAAAAACACACACACAATCAATAAGTGACCGTAACATAGAAACCAACTGCAATGGAATTGTGTGTTGTGACCCCCTACCTCTTCTCTGAAAAAGCGAACATAACAAAAGTTAATATTGTAAATATTTTCACTCAACGAAAGCTTTAATGCCATGAAACGACATAAAGGACCCAATATCATCGTATTTTATGACTTGTGCATTCATGTTTATTCCAGAATACCAATGTATTCAAACAAATAATATTAAGTTGTATTTTTCATTATTTTCAATTGAATGTCATAGGTTGCAAATAAAATATTGCACCCACTCATGGTTAAGGCTAATAAAGTGATAAAAAAAATGTGGGATTTTGGTCTTGGAATTCTAAGTACAATAAATTTTGTTATACGGCAAAAATACTAAAAAAACAATACTCAATTTATAGGACAGACATCAGCCAATGTTCGATTTTTTAAATATATTTTGACTTCTCTTAGGAATATTAAAAATTTTGACCCTCTATAGAGAAGGTTCCGAAGGAATGCGCCAATATTGTCCATTTCGTAAGGGATCTAAATAAATGTGATATAAATATTGTGACGTGCCAGGTTTAGACTATATCGACTACTTCCTTCATCCTTCTATGAAATATGTGATAATTGGTGTGGGCAAAATTGCACGAAAATCAAACACTTACAGGGTGATATAAAAAACTGCATCAGAGTCAAACGCCTTAATTTTTACATTTGTTTTTTTAAATTTATTTAATGAATTGAAACCGTCATACTCTGCCCGAATGTTGCTCTGCGGTATTTTGACTCATACCCGGCGAAACGCTTGTTTGAGGTGATCGACACGTTGGTAAATTTTAGTGCCAACCTTGCTTTCCTAAATACTGCAGACTAATAGTCCAACGGATTAGTATCCAAAGATTTTGGTGGTCATTGTGCGCTGGAAATGAGGCGAGGAAGCTTATTTTGTAAGTATTCTTGGGTGGCGCGTGCTGAGTGCGATGGTGCTGAGTCCTGTTGGAATGTCCAAGGTCTGCGCTCAAAATGTTTGCGTGCCCAAGGCTTTAATACACCCTCCAGAATATTTTCGCGATAATATTTGGCCTTTATTCTGATGCCACGGTCGATTAATATGAGCGGAGAGCGATCATCGGCTGTTATGGCGGCCCATACCATCACCATGGCCGGCGCTTGAGTTCTGTTGGCCAACCGAAGGTGCACATTTTGTTTACAAACTGCTGGACAACGAATGTTTTATCAGTTCACTACTTTCGGCCAAGCGAAGCAACTCTTTAGCTCTTTTGAGTCTATTTTCTTCCTGTTGCGGTGTAAGTTCTTGCACTTTTTGGAGTTTTAATGGCTTAACCCCAATCTCATTTTTTAATATTTGCGAATGGAATATTGCGGCTACTGCGACGCGTGTTTCGATCAACTCGCTTCTTTACTTTTCGAACCATTTCTGCTGATGTGGCTGATTTCTTCCGTCCATTTCCTTGACGTCGGACTACGCTACCAGTATCACGGTAACGAGCGATGGTATGAGACACAAAAGATTCATTCACATTTAAATGCTGGAGTGCTCTAACAGCCACTTGTGGTTTTCCAGCCAAATATAAAGAAATCACACTATCGCGCTTGAATTCCGTCACGAATAACTTTTTTTTCAGGAAAATTCTCACCAAAATGCTTCCGAACGCTGGTAAACAATATTATGAGCTGTAACTGGGATAATTTTAACAGCTTTTGGACCAGTGACTTAGAAATGACAGCAGTCTTAAGTTGGTTGCAGTTTTTTCATCTCACCCTGTATGTGTGAAATTTGAAGAGAGTTATATGCTTATTTCCCTTTCTTTGAGCGTTTTGTTTTTCAAAATCTTGAACCCTGTGTGGAGGAGGTTCGAGAATATCAAATCTTCTGTTGATGAAAATATTGAGATGTACCAACTCTGAATGGAATCGAATGTTTATTATGTGTTTTATGAGCTTCATGGATTTTCAAAATTTTGATCCGTTTTGGGGGAGGTATCAGAAGGAGTGGGCCGCTATATACCATTTTCACACCAGACCCTGTATTAATGAAAATATTGTGATGTGTGTAATTTGAAGAGAATCGGATGTTTACTTCGGATTTTATGATCGTTTTGGTTTTTAAAATTTTACTCTTCGTGGTGGAGGTACCAGAAGGAATGGTCTAATCTCAACCATTTTATTTTATGGACCGATATTGTCCATATTCGCACCTGACTTAGCATTGATATAAATATTAGGATTAGCAAAGTTGGAGAAAAATAGGATTACCATTTCTCTTTGTGTGCAGTAAATTATTTTCTTTGAATATGGGAGAGGTGCCAGAAGGAGGGGACCAATACTGCTCATATCCTAACTCGATCTAAGTTTGACTATAATATTACGATGTACCAAGTTTGGATGAAATCGGATACTCCCTTCGAGAGTTAGACAGACGGACATCGCTAGATAGACTTAGACAGACGGACATCGCTAGACAGACTCCAAATTTCCTGAAACGGTCCAAATGTCCTGTAGGGTCGAAAACCGTTATTTCGATGAGGCACGTTTTGGCCGCGTCAAATGATATATCTCCAGCCATATGGCTGAGCGTACAATTATAGTACACATTTCCGAAACTTCTTCCAAAATTGTACAAAAGATGATCCATTTCAGTTCTTTCCGTGCAGTTGTAGTACACATTTCCAAAACCACAGATTTATCACAAATCTACCACCAAAAGAGACCCTTACACAAATTTTCACAATGGCAAAATTAGGTGCCATTTTGTAAAGTTCGCACACTTGGTACTTATTTCCGAAACCCCCTTCAAATATCAGACGTCCTTTCCAACCTTGATTCTCATACCGAATTTCAAGTTTTTAACTCTATCTGACCACCAAATGGTAGCATTTCGGTTCGAATTTTGAAAAATTATTTCCTAGATCTCAACTCGATCTGTGACTCTTATTCCAAACTTCAGAATTGTAGCTTATTCCGTTTGTCCAATACAATGTACTAAATTGTTAGTACAATTCGATTCCTTTAAATACAGTAGACATAAGTATAAATTTCCATAACAACCTAGAGCATACATGATATATACAGACAGACGAACATCTCTAAATCGACTCCAAGTGTCCTGAAAGGGATTTGGTCCAAAGAGGCCTAGGGTCTAAACCCGTTTTTTTAATGAGGCACGTTTTGGTCGTATCAAATGATATATACCCTCTTTAGTCATTTGGCTGAGGGTATAAAAATAAACTTTTTTTGAGAGAAGAAAACTTTTACACCAGAAACCTCATCAAAATTTGAACCGATATAGTTCATTTTCAATTTCAAATATTTGAGGAGTTTCATAAATGCATATTCCAATTTTAATTTATTTTTATTAAATTTTGTAACCTCTGTTTCATTTCAAGAGACGTTCGGAAAATTACTCTATACAAAAATCTTGATATTTTCAATTATCACACAAACTGCCATTCTCTAAGGACTAATTATTTCATGTTCATGTTAATTTCGGAACATTATTGTTCTGAGCAACAATTGTGCTTGAACACGTCCACAAAACAAACACAAATGTAACCTTGAAATCAACCGACTGTCCCAAATGATTGAAAACGACAAGCGTTTCAATCACTTTGCACAAACACACGCACACACACACACACAAGCACACACAACGACAAGTAGCATTTTCCGAACGGTTTTAATTCTGGGCGAAAATGATTTGCGTGTTGCACGAAATCCCAGCTGAGACAAATGTAGGTACATTTGTATGTGTATTGGACACTAACACAACAACATCTGTAGTATGTGTGTAGCAGATACAATGTTGTATGTTTATTGTCGACTCTTTGATGTGCTTCATTAACTGCCATCAATGTACCAGTCTGTCATTGTGTGAGTTCTCAATACTTGTCAATAATTAATTAAAACACACATTCAGTAAATTAACCTGGGAGAATGTCGTCACCAGTTGAACTAAATATTTATACACAATGTTTGTTAAAGACACATCAATCAATCAAATAATAGTTAAGGTTTTTTAAAAAGTTTAAAGCAATTTTAGAGCTGAAAATGTCAAAGTGTGTGCGTGTAATAAATAATTAACTCTTACAGATAGATTTTTAAGTACTAATTTAAGAATCAACCCTGTATTTATTTTTAATGTAGAATATTTTATCCACATAATTATTTGTTGTAAGTACGTCAGTAGATTGAAGTAATTTTGAAACTATTCTCTTTCAGGATTTCCTTCCGCGTTTACATGGCATTGGTTTGTGTGTTGTTAATCTAATGGATGATATGCACGAATATGTCCGAGGACTCTTCTTCCTAATGTAAGTATTTAAGTACAAAAAAAAAAAAAAAAAAAAACAACATTATATTAAAAGAGAAATAATTCCAGCCCAGTTCTATTAGAATTACAAATACTCTCTCACAAAAAAATAAATTTTTTAAGAGTTTTGATGAATTATGTAGATGAGGTCTTCTATTTTTATACCCTCGGAGGATAAATTAACCTTGTCATTCCGTTTGTAACATCCCTAAATATTAATCGTAGATCCCATAATCATAATCAGCATAAAATTCTGAAATTCATAATTAGCATAAAATTCTAAGCCGATTTAACGATGTCCGTGTCTGTCTGTCTGTTGAAATCATGATACAACCCACATTATATGACGTAGACCTTTAAAATTTGGCTGAACAATTTTTATTGTGTCTAGGATGATTGGTATTGAAAATGAGGTATATCGCTCCACGTTTTGGTATATATATAATGGCATCTCCCGATATTCGGCATCTTTATGATTTTCGTCACATTTTTTCCACGAATTTGTCTAAAAATTGGTATAGGCGGAACATTGCACGTATTCACCTTTCGTATAGCCACCATATAATGATACCTTCGATATTCGGAATTTTGATGATTTTTGCCACATTTTTCCACGAATTTGTCTAAAAATAGGTATTTGGGGGTCAAAATGACTTCTAGCTCTTATGGCGAAACATTGTATGTGTAGGTCCACGTTTTGTGCCATATTAAACATGATTTCAAGTGCTCAAAATATATTTTTGTGAATTTTATCACCCATTATATCAACACTTTAAATTAAATTAAATAAGTTTATGCCATGTTTACGTTAGACCTTTTTGTAGAGTTAACCTACTTTGAGAGGATTTATTTGAAGTAAAAGTAATGGATATGACAATTTAAATCCAAATCCAGTGGGTTAACCCATATAAACGTACTTTTAGATTTGTTCAAACGGCCAATGAAACCGTTACACGCTGCTCGAATGTTGCTCTGCGGTATTTTGGCCCATTCCCGACGAAGCGCTTGCTTGATCGACACTTTGGTATTTTTAGTGCCAACCTTGCTTTCCAAAATACCTTGGACACAATAGTCCAATAGATTGGTATCCGGAGATTTTGGTGGCCATTGTGCGCTGGAAATGAAGCGAGGAACCTAATTTTTTAACCATTCTTGAGTGGCGCGTGCTGAGTCCTGTTGGAATGTCCAAGATCTGCGGCCAAAATGTTGGCTTTAATACACCCTTCAGAATATTTTCGCACTAATATTCGGCATTTATTCTGAGGCGACGGTCGATTAATACGAGCGGAGAGCGACCATCGGCTGTTATGGCGGCCCACACTATCACCAAGGCCGGCGCTTGAGTTCTGGTGGCCAACCGAAGGTGCACATTTTCAGCTAACCTCTTTGGCAAGTAAACACGACCACGATCATTTTGTTTGTTTACAAACTGCTGGACAACGAATGTTTTCTCATCGAAGCGGAGAAAAACAAATTCGGCAGTTCACCACTTTCGGTCAAGCGAAGCAACTCTTTAGCTCTTTTGAGTATATTTTCTTTCTGTTGCGGTGTAAGTTCTTGCACTTTTTGGAATTTCAAAGGTTTTACCCCGAGCTCATTTTTCAATACTTGCCGAATGGAATATTGCGATATGTTCAGCTCTCGAGCCATTTTTCGGCTACTGCGTCGTGAGTTTCGATCAAGTCGCTTCTTTACTTTTCGAACCATTTCTGCGGATGTTGCTGTTTTCTTCCATCCACTTCCTTGTCGTCGGGCTTCGCTATAACGAGCGATGTTACGAGACAGAAAGATTCATTCACATTTAAATGCTGGAGTGCTCTAACGATAGCCACTTGTGGTTTTCCAGCCAAATATAAAGAAATCACACTATCATGACAGTGGTCTGAAGCAGGTTGTAGTTTATTCATCTCACCCTTAAGATAGGATAGGTCGGAGTACTCCTTCTGGTACCTCCTCCACAAGGGATCAAAATTTTGAATATTTATATCTCTTATGACACACGAAGTAACCATCCAATACATTTCAAATTTCCCAAATCTCAATATTTTTCTAAAACAAGATGTGGTGTTAAAGTGCGATGTATCGGCTCACTCCTTCTGATACGTCCCCCACAAAGGGTCAACATTTGGAACATTTATTACTGCTATCAGATGTGAAATACAAGTCCGATGTGTCGAACATTTTCAATATTTCCACTAACATAATATTTGGTACAAAGAACCGATATAACTGACCACTACTTCTGGTTCCACCCGCAAAAAGGGGTCAAAATTTTGAATAATAATAATTCTCATAGAATGCGAAATAAGAAGCCTATTCTCTTTAAATTTCATTTACGCCAATATTTTTACTAACGCAAAAACTGGTGTGAAGATGACAGGTATCAGTCCACCACTACTGGTACCTCCGTACATGGTCCTAATTTTAGATAAGAGAAGATGAAACCTATAGTGAATACCAAATTCAAACTTTAAAATAATTGTCTGAGAGCATGGTATTCAACAAGAAGATCAAACACGAAGTTTCAAACAACTTCGTTGGGAAATGTGTGGCCACAACATCACTAAAATACCGAATATCGTAGGGTACCGATATGTTGCGGTTAAATGAAGGTTGACATCTTTTTAAAACTTCAAATACAAAATTTCAACCATTTTTATTGAATATTCGAGGTACCTTTCTATGGAGGGCTATACGAAAACATGGACTAGTGCACCACAAAATTCGTGCATATGGCAAAAATGTTAGCCATCTAGACCGATCCTTTCAAAACAAGTATAAATTGTCTTAGAATTATACGATCATCCTCAATAAAACGCTATTAAAAATAAGATTGACATTGCAATTATATTACCTCAATTTACTATGAGATAATATTCATATTTAACACCGTACTTAATATGACAATTTTAACATAATTTTTTCAATTATTATTCTCTCCTCCCCCACTTCCTGCAGGTATTGTGCACCCACCGTACTATTATCATATCTCTATATAAGGACCTCGCAAGAGTTGCGGCCACCTGACGAACCATTAGCTGTAATGTTGTACGAGCAGCGGGCGGAGATACGGATGAGGCAACGGTAAGTTGTATTTTTCTCTCTCTCACACTCACCCACACACACATCCTAGCATATAACAAATTTAACAACAATAAAGGACGACAATCCATTCAAATAAAGTAGCTGTGAAAAAATTTTAAACAATAGGAATGGAGATTAATAAAGTTAAAGCGATTGTCGTCATAAAAAGGACAACGAAATCGTTCGTAAATTGAAAAAAGGACAATGGCGGAAGATGACAGAAATATGTTGTTTACATGACAGAAGTAGGAGAAAAAAGTTTATGCCGGGCAAATGTAAATACCTACAGAGTTTTCGTTCTTTGACAAAACGAATGAATCTTTTGTTTGGTTTCGTAGCTCGACAGTGAAGAAGAGGCAAAACAAAAAAAAAAAGAATGACAAACCTCTCGATGCCAAAGAGAAAGCAGAATGGTATTGCATGGCATTGTCTTTTGGTAGCCATAAGAACAATAGCGCCAGGGGAAGTAAAAAAATCCTGGTTGTTATGACAGTGTCGCTTAAAGTAAAGAAGGAAATGAAATGCAAAATAAAGAAAGAAATTTCTCAGGTATAATCTCACTTTGAGAAGCTGTCCTCCTCCTCCTTCACATCACCTTAACCTTGAATAGGTTGGGCTTCATTTCACGTTTTTCGTGGCGAGACGTCTTTAAATGGAATATTTATGTTTTGTTTTATTTTCATATTTTTTTTTTGTTTCCATCATCTCCCCTCTTTGGTGGACGTTTGTTAACACAAGGACAAAGAAGTCCTCTTAGGGAGCTCCATATTAAATTTATCACTTTGATTGATGTAGCATTTCCCCACGTGCTAAGTGTGTGCTGACTCGAGGTGGCCCTTCGTTTTATTGACACATGTCAACGGAAAATCCTTAGCAAATACCAAAAAAAAAAAACAAGTAAAAAAGCAGTAAGTTCGGCCGGGCCGAACTTTAAATCCCGTCCACCATTTGGGACGAATTAGGAAATTTTCAAAAAATTAATATCTATTAAAAATTCCCATTAAATTAAAAATACAGAATATCGGAAGGTGCCGATATATGGGGAATATACGATATTGTGGACCTATATAGACAAAAAATGTGGCTGAAATGTGGAGGGGCGTTGCCATTATATGGGGGCTATACGATGTTGTGGACCTATGTAGACAAGTCTCTTTCAAGGGATAAAGTACTAACAAGGAACTCCTTGTGTGAAATTTCAGACAATTCCTTTGGAAAATGTGGCTGAAGTTATTAAAATACCAAATAAGGGGGGGTGGGTACCATTATATGGGGGCTATATGATGTTGTGGACTTATATTGACAATTCTCCTTCAAGGGATTAACTACTCACAAGGGACTCCGTGTGTGGAATTTCAGACAATTCCATTGGGGGGTACCATTATATGGGGGCTATACGATATCGTGGACCGATATAGCACATCTTCGAACTTGACCTGCCTGCAGACAAAAGAGAGATCCGTGCAAAATTTATTTATTTATGCAATTTAAGCTTCCTATCTTAATTCGTTTTGACTGTAGCGTGATTTCAACAGACGGACGGACTGACGGATAGGGCTAAATCGTCTTAGAATTTTACTCTGATCGAGAATATACAGGGTTGCCCATATTCGACGGACCCATCTGGCAACGCCATAACTTTTGACAGAGATGTCACATCGCTTAATGACATACCTCGTTTGAAGCGTCAGTCCAAGCAGATTTTTACCATGAACCAATACACGCCACGCGAGCGCTCTGAAATAGTTGAAATAAAAATAAAAGCCAGTGTTGAGAGGTCCCCAAGAACATCCCAAAAACGCCTTTCTCAGCAGTTGGGCATGGCTCGGTCAACTTTACAACGGATTATTCGCATTGATTTGCATTTGTTCCCGTACAAAATTCAATTGACGCAAAGAATGTTGCCTGCGGACAAGCCTTGTCGATTGGAATGGGCCCAAAGAGTCATCGAAAAAAACATGGGTCCGTCGAATATGGGCAACCCTGTATATACGTTGTTGGGTCTAAAATGATTATTTCGATAAATTACAAACGGAATGGCGAACTTAATATACCCTCCATACTATGTATGGTGGAGGGTATAAAAAAACCAGAGAAGGAGGGAGGGAGAGAGGTTTATTGTATCATAGCAAGATGCTGATGTGATGATGCCAAAAAAACGAAGAAAAACATGAAAACATTTATCAGACTTAGTTAGGTTTTGAAACAAAAAAAAAAATGGAACACATTCTGACCCTCCCTGCTCGTATCATTTGACATAAGTTCCCGGTCATTGTGGCAAGGACAATAATAAGTTTGACAAAAAAAGTTATCAAGTGAAATATGTAATTGCTTTTAATATTTTATCATCCGATTCACGTGTTCTAGAAGTTGTCAAAAAAAAAAAAACTATGTTTTTTTTTCAGCATTTCCATAACTCATAACGACCAACTTTTTAAGTCGTTGTACTTAATTTTCATATTTAATTTACAGCATTTGATACAAAACATGTTTGAGTTAATAAATCATAATTAATGAAAATTGATATTAGAAATTTCCCAAATTCCAGCAATAGTGAATTTTTGGTGGAGAGCCTTATTTAGGCAAAAAAAAAAATGCTCCTATTTTTTTTTATTTTTTTTTAAGTTCAACTTCAAAAATAAATTATTTTAAAATAAAAAAGTAAGCAAAAGCCATAGTTGTGCGGGGCCGACAATGTAATACCCAACACAATAATAGTTGGAAATCCCCTTCAGATCCAAACCCATTTTGTTCGATTTTGCTTTTGAAATAATGCCATACAGTTTTGGAAAAATGTTATTTTTGATTTTTGACCGATTTAATTTGACCTCTATCGCTCTGATAGGCATTCCAAGTAATTTCATACAAAGGTAGTGGTTAAATTTACCCTCCAAATTTTATCAGATAGCCAACAAAATACTACGACAAATAAAAATATCACAAATACACCCACACCAATATTGATCAATTTGTATCTGACCTAAGACTGATATAAATATTACAACGTGTGAGATTTGGACCATATCGACTCTCTCCTATACAAAGTTTTCCTATTTGCAAATTTTTGGAAAATGTGGAAATATGCGCAAGGTAACAGATATAGTGGACCGAAGTATTCCATTTTCATACTTTATCTAATACAAGTAAGCAAAGGCTATAGTCGTGCGGGCCGACCATGTGATACCCTACAACACCACAATATGTTCGAAGCCCCCTTATTTACAAATCCATTTTAGAAGATTTCGCTTTTGAAATTATGTCACGGAGCACTGCCCAGATTTTACCCTTAGCATTTTGACCAGGGAGATTTTCCCAATATTTATGCACTCCGTAGTGCTGTAGGTTTTTATGGTCCATTTTACGGCTAAATATAATCCAATGGTCACCCAAAATGCCAGAATTCTTCCCTGTGCTTAACCATCTTCTCAGGCGTGTCTATTGGCTTCAATTGTGTGATCAGGAATTTTTTTCTGTTCTTGGTTTATTTGAACCCCTAAATATTTTGCGACCATCTCCAAAAGAAGAGGCTCTTCTGTGTCTCCAAATTTAGACTCATCTATATGATTTGCTTGTCTACGATATTTGGTTATATTCGTCAACGAAATCAGCATAAAAAGCCAGAAGTTCGCCTATTGTGTATTTCGGATATCATACAAAAGTAGTGGTCCATTCTGCCCACTGTCTTATATTCTAACTTCATGCGGGATTTCGTGTTCTTTGGTTTCTATTTGTGACCTTTATAACGGCTGCAAAACCCGGAACATTTTGAGTTGCTGGTCCATTTCAACCCCTAAATATATTGCGGGCATCTTTGAAAACAATAGGCCTAGCCCTTCTGAGCCTAACCCTACCCTTTTCGTGAGGATCGGACGATAATTGAAATCTGTATATAATGATCCTAACCTGTGTTGTAAGGTGAAAAAATATCACAAAATATACCCTTCAATATTTTAAGTCAAAATTAAAAAATCGCATGCGATAAAATTTATGAAAAAATATAAAAATGTCACAAAATACTACAAAATCTATATTAACATCATTATTGGCATATTTTTCTACGATTTTTTTAGATTTTATACTTTTATGTCAAGAGGGCATTCTGAAATGACAAAATTTGTCAAAATCGGTCCAGCCATTTTTGAGATATAAGCGTTCTAGCTAACATCCCCTTCCTCTTATATATGTATTTTATATATATCGCTATATATATCCGATATATTTACCATCGGCATCTACGTAACGGTCAGGGATTAAAAATATTCGCGGTTTAATGGAGAATTTGACTTTTATTTAACACAAATGTTATGGTCTATTTCACCAACTAAATATTACCCGATGACCATCAAAATTGGAAGGCTTCTGCCCAGCCTGAAGCTCTAGCCCCATGCTAACTTTCGCTTTGATTGGTCTATAATTGCGACCTGTAGAGCAACTGCAAAATCAGGAAATTTTTCAGGTTTTGGTCCATTTCAACCCCTAAATATTATGCAAAAGAAATAGTGTTCTATTCTGACCTTATCCCCACCTTCATTCTAAATTTCGTAAGGATCGGGCCATAATTGCGACCTGTAGAGTGATTACAAATTAACATGGACAGACGGACGGACGGACATACATAGCTAGATCGACTCAGCTCGGCGAGCTAGGAAGATCCATATATACTTTCCTATATGGGAAACCAATATTTCGAGGTGTTACATAATTTTTGTAAAGTTGTAAAGAATAGCTGACGCGTTTCGCAAGTTATGACAGAAAAAAGACTTTAAATTTGTAGCCCTTTGTGGGTAAGTTGTCAGAAGGGGTTCTCAGTTATATATCACCTTCACAACAGATCATTTAAAAGCAAAAATGTTTGTATGCGTGAAATTAGAAGAGATTTGAATTTTAATTTCGTTTGGTTTTTCAAACTCTTGAACCCTATGTGAAGGAGGTACCAGAAGAAATAGTCCGATCTCTACTATCTTCACTACAGATCTTGTTTTGATGGAAATATTGAGATG